ATATACAATACCTAACATATATAAAAGTATATCAATAAAAAATGTTTTTTACATTTCTAAATTTTACATTTAGTAATCAGTAAACCACATATCCGGTTTGAAACTACGAACAATTTTTGTTTACTATGCGGTGAGACGTAGCACGTGAAGTTCTGTGGTTTAATTTAGAAAAGAATTCTAAGTAATACTAATTTAACACTTTTTAGTTTTTGGTAAAATGGACATTCTTGAATTAAATGTGTGGAAAGGCGATTGGGGTTTACCATCGGTTGACGTGGAATGTTTGCAAGTTTTGGTATGTAATTTGTATACAGGTTATGATTATGTACATTGTCACAAGCGTTAGGAATCACGGAATGTTTTAATTTTTGATGATTAATATTTTTAATGAAACATTTAAATAAGATTTATTACTTTTAAAATATTAAACTATATCTTTATATAAGCATAAGTGTTTGTTTTAATTAAGATACAAATTTTTAAATAACGATTATATGTAAATATTATTTGATAAAATTAAATATACGTTTGGTGTCATTATTGTATGACACAAAGACTTTGAATAATTAATTTCCTTGTCACCAAATAAAAGTAGGCTTTTATATTAATATTAACTTTTTCATTTTGCATTAAGATATATACAAACAAATATAAATCATTTATATTGACATACAATTTCATTGTGACATAGGATACATTCAATTTCTTTAATGTTCAATAATTGGTAATTTATGTTTAATTGCATCTATTGTGTTAGTAATTAAAAGTATTCGAATAAGTATTTTAAGTTAAATGTATGGTTTTATTGCTTAGTCCTAATGATTATATAAAATAATATTTTGATATTTAAATGTTTGTTAGACATTATTAAAAGTATACATACAATGTTCATTTCTTCATTATTGAATGAGTTCAATTCTAATTTATTTTGTTCATATCATTATTGACATTTAACATACTAGTGTTAAGTTTAATATACTACATAAACTATCTTATAAAATTATGTAAAAGGTTTTTGCATGTACTTATATAAAAAGAATTAAATTACTATAACTCTGGGAAAATGTGTTCAAAGTTTAGCACATATTGTTTTAGAAAAAATTAAAAATTAAAAGTTTAAAAATTTGTACAGTAAAAAGAATTTAGTTTATAAAGTATGTTACATTTTTTAGTGACATTTTTATTGATAACTTATAAGAGACTAAAATCATGTTGTAGATGATACTATCTACTAATTCATATTTTGTTTCTTTTCAGTTTTAATGTTAATATTTTTTTATTACATTACATTACCATTTTTATGATTTTTATTATAAGAATATTTCTGATGAAAGTATTTAGGTTTTATATTATTATTTTTTATCATAGCAGTGTTTAACATTAACTACTTATTTCATTTTTCGTATTACTGCTTTTCCTGATTCGTATTATTTTTTGCGTCTATGTGGGGTGTACAGCAACAGATGTGAGAAAATTTATGGAGTGATTCTAGATAACAGAATAAGACAAAAATCAAGAATAAAAAATTTCAAGCTCAGTTTTATTTTTAAGTTAATAACAATTAAAAATTAGTCTGGACAATTAGTGTCAACGATTCATCCGACATCAGCGAATGTAGGATAGTTCAGCAAGGGAGGTTCAATATTCAATCACAAAATTAATGCAGCATGATTTCTAGCTTATCTCTTAGAAGTCATAGAACGGAAACCTACAATGTTCGTCATCGTAAATAATCTTGCAGCACTTTATGAAGAAAATTTTCGATTAAACATTAATCTTGTCTACCCCTTGAAATTCACAAACGTACTTAAATAAATAATTTATAAGTACACACACTGTGACTTTTCACAAACAGCGTACATATACTGTAGTATTGTTTCGTCCGCAAGTACCCATACAATTCACAAACATTGATTGAGACTCTTGTAAACGACTAGAAATATGATCATATTATTTAAAAATAGTAATCACGCCGAATGGCTACTTTTCGTTTTCGTTGCTAAGCATTTATTTCTTTTATAGGTTTATGCTAAAATTAATGGTATACCTTTAAAAGTAAATACTTCTGGTAATCCATTCAAAACACCTAATGGCAAATTGCCCGTATTAAAAAGTAGTATTGGTACGTTCGATACAGCCAAAGCTATAATAGAATATTTCAGGCAACAAAATTATAACGCGGAATACCAATTAAATGGAAAACAATGCGCAAAAGTTTTGGCTTATGATACAATGTTAAAGGAAAAATTATTTCCAGCCCTACAATTCATTTGGTACGTAGATTTTGTATTATTTTGTATTTTGGTAGAAAGGTATTGTAACACAAATATAAAATACAATAGGTTTGTAATAAATTCGTGTTTAATTCGTAAAAACGCATTCGAAAATCATAAATTTCGACTTCCATGAAATTTTAGATTTTGTGAATCCCTCTTTTACCAAACGAAGGTCACTTCAGGTCACAATAAATTTTTAATGGAAGTATTGGGGAAAAGTAGTGGGGAGGAAAAATTCAGGGTTAAGTTAATATTTTATAACGGAACTATAGCCTAGCTCAATTGTACGGAACGCCCTGTATTGTATGATATAAAATTAAAATTGGAATGTTAATATTTTCAGGTGGTTAGATGAAAGAAATGTAAATGATTTAATAAGACCTTGGTATTATCGAGCATTGCCCTTCCCATTAAACTTGTATTACCCAGGAAAATTTGAACGGCAAGCTCATGTTATGTTTGAAACTTTGTATTCTGTCAAAGATGATATAACTGTCATGGAAAACAAGGTAATTGATAATTTGACTTGGTAAAAATCAGTTACTTTAATATTAATGTTGAATGAAGTAATCACGTATGTTCTTTATTTCTGATATTTTTCGTTTGTTTCATATCGTTTTAGTTTTTATCTCTTATAGTTAGTACTACCCATATATTTTCATTATTTCTTCTTTTATAAAATTGTCCTCATGTGGATCATCTATGATTCGTAATTAACTCTAGCCAGTAATTTGATTCTCATTTCAGTACTCCTCGTGCATTTTAATTGATCTCCTTAATACGTGCCAATAATTCGACTCAACAGTAAACGACTAATTTGCGTATACTGGGCCAATAACTTATTAAACAGAACATTAAATTCGCAGTCGCACCGAAAATTTTGTTTGTAATTCCTTTTGTGACCTTGAAAGACTTGTTGTAGGTCATTGAATTCGTTTTTAAAGTGATTCTGTTCAAAATTTCCATCGTGAAATTTGTTAAACCAACGTTCATATTCACTATATTTGCGAATGTATACAGGGAGTCCCATGCAACTGGGCCAAGCCACACCTTTAAAACGATAGAAGGTAGAAAAAAATTTCATTAGTCAAAATTAAATGGTTTCGAATAGTGCATCGTGTTGTGTATATCTCTGTTCCGAAAGTGGAAGTATTTCAAAAATTTCAAGGTCACCTCTATTTTTTTAAATAGAACTATATATTTTTTTATATACCAATTGATGTTTTTTTCTTATTTACTATAATAAAGTATTAAGGCACTTGTGCCGAATGGTTATATTATAAAGATACTTCAATAACATTAAATGAATCTAACAGGTGTACTCAGAAGCACAGAAATGTTTGACACTACTATCTACAAGTCTTGGAGATTTAGACTATTTTCTGGGTACAGAACCGACTGTATTGGATGCTATTATATATTCTTATTTGGCACCATTGCTTAAAGCTCCTTTACCAAATCCAGCTTTACAAAATCATTTGAAAGCTTGTACAAATTTAGTACAATACATATCACGCATATCGGAAAGATACTTTAAGGATGAATGTCGAGAATATAAGACTAAAGAAAATGTACGGGATATGAGGAGATACTCAGAAAATGAGTTTCCTAATAAAAGAAGAAATCAAATTTTTGCTGGACTTTTTGCTGCTTTAGTAATGTCAACTTACGTCTTTTCAACTGGAATATTAGAGGTAAATATTTTTTATGCAGTACAATTAATTTCATTATACATTTAGAGAAAACGCATTTTTCAGCGATGATAACTATTTATCGGATTATCTTCAGCTATACATTGGATTCTTGGTAAATCATTTAGTTATTACATTAGGGTCGCCAATGCGGAGGTAAATCATGAGACAATTTGACAAAAGGAATTAGTTGAACGCAATAATAAAACACCAATAAAAGAATTTCTTCTTATTCTTTCGTTCCATTTTTTGATGGAATACGCGACTACCTTTGCTTCCCCAGGCGCATCCCTAAATGCGCCTGTGTAAATGCATTTGCGTTCACGTCTATCTGTCATTTGTTACACATAGTAACGCTTTTTTATATCTTAGAAAATCATATTCGAATAAAGAACTAAACGTACTATATGTATGTGCCAATATTCCTGGAGAAGTTAAGATATACAGTTTATTATTTATTACATTTATTAGAAATAAATAATCGTTTTAATAAATTTTTTATTATGCCAATGATGTTAGAAGTAGAAGCTGATAAAAATTTCTCAGAGACATGTAACAGGAAAAAGTTATCTTTGAGTTCTTTTATGTAACTGGATTCAGTAATGATCTCAAGTCCAACATAGGTATACTTATAACAGGATCTACTAAAAGCCAGAGATATTCTGTCCAGCAGATTTTCGCATATGATTGTTATATAATATTTGACATTTAACATTTGAACAATAACGTGTGTTAAAGGTATCAGTAAAGGACAATGAAATTTTGGATATAGCAGCAGAGGATACATCTACTGACGATGAGTAAGAACTTTGGGAAAATAAAATCTTTTCCTTTGTTAAAAAGACAATTTTTAAACATTAATGTAATTTTTAATATT